GATAAGCAATATATAGAATTTTTACATGTATGCAAGCTTTATTATTGATCGCAATTTTGATTTTCATAATACTTATTAGAAAGTAATTAAATACATTATAATCTACTAGTTAGTCATAAATCAAATGAATAGATTTTTACAGCATGGGAAATTAATAGAAGAAGAAAAGAAGCGAACTGAAATATTGGCTAATTTAAATTATCAGAAAATTATGTTTTTTCAAGGCATTAGTCACGAATTAAAAAGTATTATAAATTATAAATGTTCCTTTAAAAAATGTATTTTACCAATAGGCTCAAAATGTTTTTTTTTAACAATACCAGCACCATTAACTTTAATACTTTCACCACTTGACGATGTAATTAATGCGTGTTCACGAGAAGCGCCAATAATGTCGCTTCTTCAAACTATACGACGTAATGCCCGTCGATTGCTTAAACTTATCAACAATTTGTTGCAAGTAAGTTTAACTCATTAATTTTAATTAATTTTTCAATGATAATTAATAATTACACTTTATTTCATATTAAAAATAACTCATTCTTTTATACAGTTTTCAGATATAGATGCTAGTCAATTCGAAGCGAATTATCGTAGAATAAACATAGTTGAATTTACTAAAGAGTTGGCTTTAGATTTTAAAAATATGACAAAAACATTAGGCTTAGATTATGTTATTAATATTCCAAATTCCGACGAATTTAATCAGGTTGTAGATAATAATATTTATTTAGACCATAATATGTACGAAACAATTATATTTAACCTTTGTAAGCATTTCTTTAAAAAACCCTCGTCGTTAAAACGTGAAAAGCTTATTGTATTAAAGATAATATTTTTGTTAAAGGTTCGAATGCACTAAAACATACTTGGAATGGGAGTATTACTGTCCGCTTATATCTCGACTACAAAGATAAGAAAAGGATGATAGTTCTTGAAGTGTCTGACACAGGTTAATAATATTCTTTATGAAACTTACATTTTAGACAATTATTTGAAGTTTATAATGTCTATAAATATATTTTATGTATTAATCTAAACCTCTGAATTAATTCAGGTGTTGGTATACCTGAGTCTGCACTTCCAAACATATTCCAGCGTTTTTATCGCGTAGAATCTCAAAATTCACGTAGTCATGAAGGTACCGGAATAGGACTTGCACTCATTAAAGAACTTGTAACATGTCATGGTGGAGACATTACTGTAACTTCAGTAGTAAATAAAGGAACGACATTTAAATGTTGGTTTCCAATAGGATATGAGCACTTACCAATAAACCAAATACTCTTTGATAATGAAAATCAAATAAATCGTGATTGTGTTAATCGACAACTTTATTTAGAAGAATGCTCACAATGGACAAATGATAATACCTTTGAATCCAAGAATGATATAATAGATCAATTGCCGATTAATAATAATGATAAAACTTTAATAAAAGAGTCCTCATTTCTATCACCCACGAATAATCTTGATTTTGGAAAGAAATATCAAGTCTTACTTGTTGATAATAATAATGATATGAGGTAATAATTTATTTATCCAATTAATTTATACTTGTAAACCGTATCTTATTATTATTGGATATATGTCTAGAGATTATCTCGCAGAATTGTTAAAAGAATTTGATATACTTCATGCTTGTGATGGCCAAGATGCTGTAAGAGTTTTAAAAAAACTTGATAAATTACCTGATTTAATTCTCAGCGGTAAGTATGTTATTTCAATTATATATATTATTTATAATGATTAATGAATTACATGACTCGGATTTAATAGATATTATGATGCCAAATATGAATGGATTCGAGTTATTAGATATATTAAGATCAAATATAAAGACCCAATATATTCCAATAATATTATTGTCTGCAGAAAATGGTGAAGATTCTAAAATTAGAGGTTAGTTTAATTTATTAGGTCAATTTATTCTCACTATATAATTTTTATATTTAATGCGTCGACTTTTTTTAATTCAGGTCTAGATAAAGGCGCAGATGACTATTTAGTAAAACCTTTCTCTGCTCGTGAACTAGTTACTCGTATTCGTACTAATCTTGAGTTATCAATTCTTCGTCGTAAAATAATATTTCAAAGATCAGAGCAGGAAAAAACAAAGCAATTATTGTTTTCAATCTCAACTAAAATATTTTGTGGGTTAAGTATTAAGGAAACATTACAATATGTTGTTAAAGAAATTTATCATAGATTACTATGTGAAAGAATCTTTATAATTTCAAATGAGCAGTCTAAATTTGAAAGTAATAGCATACTTGCTTTATATGAAAGCTCAGAAAACATGGAAATTAGTTATAACAATCAGAGTAAATCACAAGCATTCACTAATTCGAAAGAATTTTTGAATAATAGTTTAGAAACAGATATTTCTTTGAATATATATTGTGATGTTGTTTGCAAAAACGTATCAATGTTATCTGTGGGAGTAAGGTTAAATGATGGTCTTTGGGGATGGATAAAAGTGCATAGATCGTCAAATTCTATTTGGCTTGATTCTGAAATAGAGTTTTTACAACAAATCTCAAATCAAATAAGTTTGTCTATTACTCATGTAGATTTATTAGAAATGAATTTTGAAAAGGAGATTCAAATTAAAGCTGCTGAAGCTGCAAATAATACTAAAAGTCAAATATTAGCAAATACTTCTCATGGTAAATTATTTTCTTTGCGTACATTCTTGAAATTTTTTATCATACTAATTAAGTTTAATTTCATAGAATTAAGAACACCATTAGGTGCAATAATAGGGATTCTTTCTTCTTTTGAAAGTACTGAGTTAGCTGCTGATCAAAAAGACATGATTAATATTATGGCACGTGCTTCTGATGCAGTATTATCGATAATAAATAATATTCTTGATGCAGCAAAATTAGAAGCACAAAATATTACACTTGTAAATAGAACATTTGATTTATTAGAATTATTTGATGGTACTGTTGAGACATTTGGAGAAAGAGCGGGATATAAAAAAATTGAATTAATTGTAAATTATGATGTAGATAAGTTGCCGAGATATGTTATAAGTGATCCTGAAAGGTAATTAGAACTAATGTAGCTTATGAAATAAATAAATACTTATCTTGTCTTTTATCAAATAGGCTGAAAAAAGTTTTATTCCACTTATTATCAAATTCGTAATTATGTTTACCTTTATTATTATTGTTTTTTTTTTTTATAACATAGTAATTTATTATTAATTTTTTAGAATTAAATTTACTGAAGAAGGTGAAATCGTACTAACAATTTCCATGTTATCAAAAGAAGGTACTGAAGAAAACAAAATGAGTTCAACTTGTGGTCAAATGAATGAGAAAGGATTTCTATTAATTGAATTATATGACACTGGTATTGGGTGAGTAACTTATGATTATATATTTAATATTTTAATATGTAACTTATCTACTTATTCATTTAATCATAATAGCGTGAATCCTGAGTATATTCAACATATCTGGAAAAGTTTTTCACAAGGTGATATGTCAATAACCAGAAAGCAAGATGGTATAGGACTCGGTCTCTCAATCTGTAAAAGTTTAGTAGAAATTAATGGAGGAGAAATTAATGCAGAAAGCCAATTGGGAGAAGGAAGTAAATTTTGGTTTACATGGAATGTAGAATTATTATCATCGATAACACCAACTATTTCAAAACTTCCGACTTCCTCATTATTAGAAGTAAAATTTGATAAGCAAATAAACTATACATTTCCTTATTTTATAAGAAAAAAACGAATACTAATACTTCACCCTGTCAAAAATATGAGAAACGCAATGTTAACATATTTTAAAATTGTTGAAAAAGTTGATGCATTCGATAACTTTAATGAAGGTATTAAAGTTGCACAAACATATAAGGAATTATATAATCAATCTGCTTATGATATTGCATTTATCGGTCTTTATGAAAACAATAAAGAAGAGGTTATGAAAGCAGCATTAAAGTTAAAAGCATTAGATATGGATGATAATAGATTAGTTATAATTTTTATAGTGTTTCCGAGTAATGAAGGAAATGAGTTAGCAAGAAAATTAATTAAAAAGCTTGGGAGAGTCACCTCTGTTATTTACACTCCAATTACATTAAAAAAGTTAATTAATCAAATTATTTATCTGGAAAAACACATCGCTGCTGATAAAAACAATACAAATCTACAGACAGATGAAAATAAGAATACAAGTGTTCTAAGTCGAGTGGCCGTAGCAAACTCTAAACTTTATAAAATCGGAGATGTTAATCAAGATATAGATGAGGATGTACCAAAAAAAGAGTTTGATAAAAAATGTATTTTATGTGTGGTATGCATTTATTTTGACCAAATAATAATGCATATTTAATATGATAAGCTTTAATTAATTGTTTAACAATTTTTGTAGGATAGTGATTCTATAAGTTTAGAGGTAATTAAGGCTTAATAATGTAGGCTCATAATATTTATAAATTCTTTAATTTATTTTATTTTAGAATACACTGAAACAAATTTCGAAACTTGGTTATTCAACAATTTCTGCGGAAAATTGCCAAGAGGCGATCAGATTGATTGATTCTGAAATTAAATTAAGGCATTTGTACTCGAGTTCATCTAATTCAGAAATAAACCAAATAAAATCTTGCAGAATATCACTAATATTAACTGAATGGAATTTGGTAAATTTAATTTGTTAATTATGCTGTAATGATAAAATATTTGCAATTTATTAAATTAATTATTATACTTAGCCAATAATATCAGGGTCTGATTTTTCACGAGCTATTAGAGCAATGAGACCACCAATATCAAATATACCAATCATTATTCTAACCACTTTATCCATAAAAGAAATACAAAACAAATGTATCGAATCAGGAATAAATGATTATCTTGCAAAACCACTGAAAACTGATGAACTTGAAAAAGTTTTAGCTAAGTGGATTCGTAAAAATTAACATTAATCACATTAAAAAATATAATAAATCTCGTAAATATTATGAATATTATGAATTTTATATATATATGTAGTTCATCAATATAGTAATATGCTTTAATTTTTCTAAAACTTTATAATTATTCGAAAAATGTATAATTATATTTATTATATGCAGTTGGTTTATATTTTTATTTTGGTTATAATTATATAACTAATTGACTTTTTGTTTTTTTTTAATTATAAACGAGATATGCAATTATATCCGGAGCGCAGTAAATAAAGTGCATGGTTTAGTTTGAGTTAGAATTTCATATACAAAAACTGATTAAATTAGATGTTATAGTACAAGATTTATGTTTATTCTACACTTATATTTATATTATATATTATTGAAATATTTGAATACTTGAATTATGAGATTTTTTATCAAACAAATTTGATTATAATGAATATAGATTTTTTTCAAAGCATAGTTTTTATAAAACGCAGCTTCATCGTAATATTCTTGCAAAGTGCATTTGCTAATGCTTTTCCTTCTCATCCAAGATTATTGGCATATTATTGAACTATTCTAATATTTGGATTATGAGATTTTATAGTAAAATAAATTAGATTATAATTAATATACAATGTTTTCAGAACATTGTTTTTATAAAGTGCAGCCTCCAGTGCTTTTCCTGCATCTGATCTAAGAGAATTTAAATTAAGATCTAAATCTTTTAACGTGATGTTTTTGCAAAGTGCATCCGCTAATGCTTTTCCACATTCTGACCCAAGTTTATTTGAAGAAAGAATCAAATTTGTCAGTGCAGTGTTCTTTAAAATTGCATTTGCTAATGCTTTGCCTCCTTCTGGGCCAAGATTATTCGAATGAAGATTTAAATTTTCTAGCGTGACATTCTTGCAAAATGCATCCGCTAATGCTTTTCCTCCTTCTGATCCAAGATTATTCGAATGAAGATTTAAATTTTTCAGCGTGATATTCTTGCAAAGTGCATCCGCTAATGCTTTTCCTCCTTCAGATCCAAGGTCATTTGAATGAAGAACCAATTTTTTCAGCGCAGTGTTCTTGCAAAGTGCATTTGCCAATGCTTCTCCACCTTCAGATCCAAGGTTATTAAATTGAAGATATAAAGAAGTCAAGGTGGTGTTCTTGCAAAGTGCATTTGCTAATGCTTTTCCTCCTTCTGATCCAATATTATTTTTATGACCAATTATCAAAGAAGTCAACGCGATGTTCTTGCAAAGTGCATTTGCCAATACTTTTCCTTCTTCTGATCCAAGATTATTCGAATAAAGAATTAAATGTTTCAGCGTGCTGTTTTTGCCAAGTGCTCCCATTAATATTGTTCCATCAATATTAGTGTTAAGTGTTAAATATTTAAGATTTTTACTAGCTCGCAGAAACATTGAAACTAAAGAGCATATGATAGCTTTTATAAGTTGATTTTTATCTTCTTCGAAGTAATATCCTTTATGTATAAGCCAATTTATGGCACAACAAACCAAATAAGGACCAACAGACCTAGTATAACTTTCATACTCAAATAATGGCCTTGAGTAATTTGGAAGAATAATTTTGAAGGGAATCAACCGCGCCTGTTCTTCAGCATTTAATGCTAAAAGATATATTTTTATAAGTCTTATATCACTAAGATAATTTGTTGGTTTATTCCATAAAATTGGTATAATAATTCTGCACCAGTGACGATTTACAAGAAGGCATGAAAATAAGCTTTTATAATCAGATCGAGAATTGGTTCGAAAATTATTAAATATCTCAAAAAGGCATTCGTTCGATAACATTTTCATTTTGAAATGAATATGATTTTAATATAACAGTAAAAATCGGATTTTGCCTCCGATATATATAACCAATGTAAAATGCTGTGAAACATTGTAATCTACCCATGACGGAGGTTCAGTTTATGTATGAATGTTACACGAGATTTTACTTCGATCGAAAAGGCAATCGATACAATGACGTACTGCGCGCTGACAATCACATGGGGAACCGGGCGCCAACAGGCAAAATCGGGTATATGCAAAGCCCAGAGATGAAAGGCGTATGTAAGGGTGGCAGATAAGCGAATTTAATCGAATAAGGTAGCTGCGCGACGCTGTCACGCGAAACCAGGAACGTATATTTATGAAGTAGTTTGATTAGAAAATTGATATAAATATATTACATATATATGTTTTAAGTTTGTGATCATTAAAAATAAAATTTAATTAGATATCCATATGAATTTGTGTATTAATAAAGAAAAGGTATAAAAGAACAATCGAAGTACCTTATGAGGTTGTATTATATAAGATATTAATTTTTACATGTGTATAAATAGTTTATAAAGATGTTATAAAAAATATGGTGAGATAGGATTTATATTATTTTGTTACTTAATTGTTTAGTAAAATTTTAGAGATAATAATGTGTTATTATTGTTTAGAGTTTATGAAAATAATTTTACTTTATTGGTGGTAATATTATATTGCATAATATTAATGATTATATTAACAGTATTAAAATTTTTTGACATAAGTATTTTTAGAGGTTGATTTGTGAATATAAGTATAATTGTTAGTGAATATAAGTATAATTGTTAGTAAGCCTCACCGTTAATATTAAAAAAAATATATAATTGTTAGTAAGATGGATATTTAGCAATATAGATGAAAACTAATTAATTAATAATGTAATTTATTAATTGTGTAATTTATATTACAAAAGATTCAGTAGAATTGTAACTTGTAAGTTTGTAGTTAATTATAAAATTGGTTATAAAAATTATATAAAAAGTTTAGTAAAATAATACCAGGAACGGAGTGATAAATATCACAAAGTATATGGTTATACGGCAATTTAAATGATGTTACTCTGCAAATCGTAGATCTGATTGGTCTGCGTGACCCTATTTGTCACGCATCATTTAATTTTCACATATCATTTCGTCACGCCTAATACGTACTAAGATCATAAAGAATTAATTGCAGAGATGCGATTACAAATACCATGACTGATGATAATAAAGACATATACCAGGAACGGAGTGATAAATATCACGAAGTATATGGTTATAT